TTTTTATTTTTTTTTTAATTTTTTGATTTTACATATTGTTATTGATAAGAGCACGAGAGTCGGAACATTTCAGAAAAGAGTTTTAGCAAGTTTTAGATGCAGCAAGTTTTATTCTTAACAATATTAATGATTAACCCTAGAAAGTTAAACTATCGTAAAAACTACGAGTTCCATAAAGATATACAACAATCTGGCGCTGCATAACAAATAAAACTAGAACTAACACTAGACCTAGAACTAGAAAGTTTCGGGTTTAGCCGTGCGTCTGAAGACGCACGGTTNGAAAATATACAACAACCTAGCGCTGAATAACAATTAAAATTAGAACTAACACTAGACGCACGGCTAAACCCGAAACTTTCTAGTTCTAGGTCTAGTGTTAGTTCTAGTTTTAGTTCAATTACAACATACAATCTAGCACCATCTAGTGCTTATTAGTACTACTTAACACTGTAACTAGAACTAACACTCGATCTAGAACTAAAATCATTCGGGTTAGTTCTACTTCTAGTAATAAACTAGGGGACTTTGGAGATGTCCAAAAGCGTCCAGAAGCTTTCTAATGGTCTCTATAGTTATCAAAAAGTGTTTAAACGCTTAAAGTTAGAAAGTTAGTTATAAAGATTTCCAGAAGATTTTTAGAGATGTCCAGAAATGCCCAGAAACTTTTTTTTTGTCCCGTATGTTTCTAGTTCTAGGTCTAGTGTTATTTCTAGTTTTAGTTCAATAACAACATACAATCTAGCACTATCTGCAGGGTTGCCCAACCTACGGCCCGCGAGAATGTCTTATGTGGCCCACAGGGCCGTAGCTCATGTACTAGTAGAATATTTTGATTACAACTTGTATTTCCGAGTACCGTTTACCTATGCGTGCATTTTGGCACGCGCAATATATACGTGGAACCAATGTGGACCGCGTACAAAAAAAGGTTGAGCACCACTGGTTTAATCAGTTCAATTTGAGCTGCAGCAGATTTTTCATCATGTTTAAAACACCAAATAATTCAAAAAATCTATTTGACATGTTCTATTTCACTACAAAACTATTTTTCCACGATTTTTTGCAAATCTTGGAGTGGGCGGCATCTTTAAGCAATTTAATTTTGAATTGCAGCAGATTTCTCATCATCTCTAATACATAAAGTATAAGAAAAATCCTTGGGCACTTCCCATTTAGTTCGGAAACCCGATTTCTATTTTTGCATTTTTTTTGCTTGGACAGAATATCTGATCAAGTTAGTTTACACCGCATCGTATTTGTCATCACTTATAAATAGTAATATCCATGATTTTTTGCAAATTTTGGGTTTAATCAGTTTAATTTGAGTTGCAGCAGACTTCTCATCATGGCTAAAACACCAAATAATTCAAAAAATACTTCTGACATGTTCTATTTCATTACAAAACTAGTTTTCCACGATTTTTTTGCATATTTTGGATTGAGCAGAATCTTTAATCAATTTAATTTTGAATTGCAGCAGTTTTCTCATCATTTCTAATACATTAAATATAAGAAAAATCCTTGGGCACTTCTCATTTAGTTCGGAAACCCGATTTCTATTGGATTTTTGCATGCTTTTTTGCTTGGACAAAATATCTGATCAACTTAGTTTGCACCGCATCGTGTTCATCATCACTTATAAATACAGTGAAATTCCCCTAACTCGAATCACTAAGGAAGCGGAAGAAAACTTCGAGTTATGGAAAATTCGAGTTAGGGAAAACACATTTAAACACATTTGAAGCCTAGTCAAACGCTTGAGCTTACGAAAATTATTCGACTTACAATTAGAGGATAATTCGAGATATAGAAGTTCGAGTTAGGGGAATTTCACTGTAGTAATTTCCATGATTTTTGGCAAATTTTGAGTTCAATCAGTTTAATTTGACCTGCAGCAGATTTCTCATCATGTCTAAAACACCAAATAATTCAAAAATTACTTCTGACATGTTCTATTTTATTACAAAACTAGTTTTCCACGATTTTTTTGCAAATTTTGGATTGAGCAGAATCTTTAATCAATTTAATTTTGAATTGCAGCAGATTTCTCATCATTTCTAATACATTAAATATAAGAAAAATCCTTGGGCACTTCCCATTTAGTTCGGAAACCCGATTTCTATTGGATTTTTGCATGCTTTTTTGCTTGGACAAAATATCTGATCAACTTAGTTTGCACCGCATTGTGTTCATCATCACTTATAAATAGTAATTTCCATGATTTTTGTCAAATTTTGGGTTCAATCAATTTAATTTGACCTGCAGCATATTTCTCATCATATCTAAAACACCAAATAATTCAAAAAATACTTCTGACATGTTCTATTTCATTACAAAACTAGTTTTCCACGATTTTTTTGCAAATTTTGGATTGAGCAGAATCTTTAATCAATTTATATTTGAATTGCAGCAGATTTCTCATCATTTCTAATACATTAAATATAAGAAAAATTCTTGGGCACTTCCCATTTAGTTCGGAAACCCGATTCCTATTGGATTTTTGCATGCTTTTTTGCTTGGACAAAATATCTGATCAACTTAGTTTGCACCGCATTGTGTTCATCATCACTTATAAATAGTAATTTCCATGATTTTTGTCAAATTTTGGGTTCAATCAATTTAATTTGACCTGCAGCATATTTCTCATCATATCTAAAACACCAAATAATTCAAAAAATACTTCTGACATGTTCTATTTCATTACAAAACTAGTTTTCCACGATTTTTTTGCAAATTTTGGATTGAGCAGAATCTTTAATCAATTTAATTTTGAATTGCAGCAGATTTCTCATCATTTCTAATACATTAAATATAAGAAAAATCCTTGGGCACTTCTCATTTAGTTCGGAAACCCGATTTCTATTGGATTTTTGCATGCTATTTTGCTCGGACAAAATATCTGATCAACTTAGTTTGCACCGCATCGTGTTCATCATCACTTATAAATAGTAATTTCCATGATTTTTGGCAAATTTTGGGTTCAATCAATTTAATTTGACCTGCAGCATATTTCTCATCATGTCTAAAACACCAAATAATTCAAAAATTACTTCTGACATGTTCTATTTAATTAAAAAACTAGTTTTCCACGATTCTTTTGCAAATTTTGGATTGAGCAGAATCTTTAATCAATTTAATTTTGAATTGCAGCAGATTTCTCATCATTTCTAATACAGTAAATATAAGAAAAATCCTTGGGCACTTCTCATTTAGTTCGGAAACCCGATTTCTATTGGATTTTTGCATGCTTTTTTGCTTGGACAGAATATCTGATCAACTTAGTTTGCATTGCATCGTATTCATCATCGCTTATAAATAGTAATTTCCATGATTTTTTGCAAATTTTGGGTTCAATCAGTTTAATTTGACCTGCAGCAGATTTCTCATCATGTCTAAAACACCAAATGATTCAAAAAATACTTCTGACACGTTCTATTTCATTACAAAACTAGTGTTCCACGATTTTTTTGCAAATTTTGGATTGAGCAGAATCTTTAATCAATTTAATTTTGAATTGCAGCAGATTTCTCATTATTTCTAATACATTAAATATAAGAAAAATCCTTGGGCACTTCCCATTTAGTTGCGAAACCCGATTTCTATTGGATTTTTGCATGCTTTTTTGCTTGGACAGAATATCTGATCAACTTAGCTTGCACCGCATCGTATTCATCATCACTTATAAATAGTAATTTCCATGATTTTTGCAATTTTGGGTTTAATCAGTTTAATTTGATATGCAGCAGATTTCTCATCATGTCTAAAACACCAAATAATTCAAAAAATACTTCTCACGAGTTCTATTTCATTACAAAACTATTTTTCCACGATTTTTTGCAAATCTTGGAGTGGGCGGCATCTTTAATCAATTTAATTTTGAATTGCAGCAGATTTCTTATCATTTCTAATACATTAAATATAAGAAAAATCCTTGGGCATTTCCCATTTAGTTCGGAAACCCGATTTCTATTGAATTTTCGCATTTTTTTGCTTGGACAGAATATCTGATCAACTTAGTTTGCACCGCATCGTATTCATCATCACTTATAAATAGTAATATCCATGATTTTTTGCAAATTTTGGTTTTAATCAGTTTAATTTGACTGAATATTTTGATTATAAGTTGCATTTCCGAGTACTGTTTACCTATGCATGGATTTTGGCCCGCGCAATATATACCTGGAACCAACGTGGCCCGCGTACAAAAAAAGGTTGAGCACCACTGATCTAGTGCTTATTAGCACTACTTAACACTGTCACTAGAACTAACACTCGATCTAGAACTAAAATCATTCGGCTTTAGCCGTTCGTCTCTCAAGACGGTTAAACCCGAATGTTTCTAGTTCTAGATCTAGTGTTAGTTCTACTTCTAGTAATAAACTAGGGGGCATTAAAGATGTCCAAAAGTGTCCAGAAGCTTTCTAATGGTCTCTATAGTTATCAAAAAGTATTTAAACGCTTTCTAGACAGTTATAAAGATTTCCAGAAGATTTTTAGAGATGTCCAGAAGTGTCCAGAAACTTTTTTGTCCCGAATGTTTTTAGTTCTAGGTCTAGTGTTAGTTCTAGTTTTAGTTCAATAACAACATACAATCTAGCACCATCTAGTGCTTATTAGCGCTATTTAACACTGTCACTACAACTAACACTCATGTCACTAATGTTATGAAAAGTCAGAAACCGGTTTCAAGAAGAAAATTTGTGCTGTGTCGATTGCGTTGAGGACTTGTGATTTCTAAATTTGACCTAAACATGTTTTCAATGATATATTTTGTATAAAAATTTGTATCTAAAAGTATTGTTTTACTAAATTTGTTTTCCAGTTGTAAATTTTACGATAGTTTAGCTTTAACGTCACTTTTGAACAGTTTAGCTTTTTAGGGTTAAGCTTTCGAATGAGATATTGTTAATCGAAATCGAGAGGTTCTCTTGTTATAAATAAAATCCTATGCAATTGGGTTCTAACTTCGCATAAATATAAATTTCTTATTCTCTTACCTGCAAAGTTTCCGTGTGCGCTATGACGTCAAAATCGAACATACATGGCGTGCAGAACTCGGTTATAGGAGTCCAATGCATATCTAACGTTTCCCCGTCTTTGATACAATCGAAAAGGTATAAAATAAATTCTTCAAAAGACGGCCATCGCGTATCGCTTTTACGCAAAGTTTTCGATCGATACTTTTTGATTATTTGATTTCCAAGTTGTTGATGGTAACTGTGCGGTAAAGCGTGTTGTAATTTGTCTTTGTACGCGGACATTAAACGTTCTAACGGGTGACGAACTATTAAAAACGATAAGGAATCGTTAAAAGATTTTTTTAAATCATCCAATGGGACTCTTGGATATTTTTGTCTGGCTAAATGTAAAGGTACCATTTTAGTTTTTTGTAAAAAACCTGGACTATATCTAAAAATAGAGTTTAAGAAATAATTTTTATGGTTTCAATTTTAATTTTACCCCGCTAAAATATTAAAATTGTACATCCAAGATGTTGAGGCTGCCTTAAAAACGTTACACCATATAATATGATCTTGCGTATTTACCAAAAATTCCCAAGCGTTCGGTTTATGTAAAGAATCATTTCCAGGAATATCCAGGCCTAAATTAGAGCAAGTTCTCTTTAAAAACATTTTCCGCTTTTCTAATCTTTCCGCAACGGCGGTTAAATTTTTTGTTAACTTTACTTGCGAACTTATAACAGCATCAGAAATCTACAAAATCAAATTTATAAACTAATAAAAATCATATAAATAGCTTACTTGAGGTCTTATAAATCCCATCTCACCAACTCTATTCGGTTTCATATACTGATCGGTTGTAACAAGTAAAACTAAAGTAACCGGGATGACGCAAATTGCCATAAAAAATATGACGCATCTTCTAAGAACCTTCCAAGAGGCAATTCGATGTTTTCTAGCCAAACTCATTCCGGGCCATCCACTTTCGGTTTAGTTACTTCACTCAATGTGTTACCTAAAAATCAATAATGCTTATCAGGACGGTGCAATAAAAATATTTTATCAGATGTTATTTAGTTTATTTCAATCCTAATAGATATCTATTTATACGACATACAAATACGAAAAGTGTGAGTAGACAATTTTACTCAATTCATTTCAGTTAAACTCTAATTGAACCAACCTTGCGCGCGATTAAGGTTGCTATCAGTAAATGTGTTCGAAAAAAATCTATTTCGTTTTTATTCGTTTTTAAGAATGTAAATGAATAAAGGTTGTTTGTTGGAAATAAATTGTTTTTGTGGCTTTAAAAATTTCAACGCGGTTAAGTGGTCTATTATTGACTTTATAGATCTATTCGTTTTCAATTCGAACTTTTTTAATGAAACTTGGCTCGTAACTCGTACTTAAAGATTCGTAAAAAACTTTATTAATAACACCCACTCAATGTCAGTTAACATTTTTATACTGATCGGAATGAATGTAATCCAACAGTCTGACTCTAACTCTTAAATCAAGGTGAATTTATTGAAACAAGAAAAAAAAAACATAACAATAAACTAATATTTATTTAAATACCAATAAATAATAAACACAAAACAAAATGAGAAAACGAGTAAATAAAACAAATTGAATAATTAATGCAAATGCTGAAAGTGACCTCTACGTTTGGAGAGGTGAGGCGAATGATATTTCTAGTGGTCGAAACTATTGTTTAACGATTTGTTTTGTATTTACATTTGAAGTTGAGTTTAATGAGATTTCCAAGTATTTTAATACTTCAAAAATTTAATCTGGTTATAACTTTAAAAGATGAGAAATCACTAAGGGGGGAGATACATTTAGATGAACAAAAATAAGTGCATTTTCGAGATAATTTTTTATTACGATGGGAACATTGGTAGAGATTTCCAGCATAAAAAACGAAGGAACCTCTTTTGGACATGCTCTAGTCGTTCCACGAATATATCATATTGTAATTTCCATACAACGGTGCAGTTATTGAAAATGTTAAAAAAGATACGTATAATAGAAAGTCATTAATGAATTAGTGTCGGCAAAATCGGCAGCTGGTTTCATGACGGATCCAGGCATACGAAAAGCTTTGCCATCCACCAAATCGACGTGCTCAGTAAATAATAGATTACTATCAAACGTCACGCCCAAATCCCTTATAGAAGTAATCCTGTTCAAAACAACTTCCCTCCAATGATGTAGTCAAAACGTATAGGACCAGGCTTTTTTGTAACAGTAATTGTAAAGCATTTTCTATAATTTATGGTGATGTAATTTGGAAAACAACATTGAGCAAGTTCACATAGATTTCGCTGAAGAGCAGAACAGTCTCTAGGATTAGACACGCGGCAGAAGATCTTTAGATCATCTGCATACATTAAACAGTTAGCGTGTTTAAAACACTTAAATATGTCATTAATATAAATATTGAAAAGCAAAGGTCCAAGATTGCTTCCCTGAGCGACGCCGGATGAGACTGATACCGTCTGCAAGAAGAAACCTCTAACTCTAACCGACTGCGTCGTATCAGCCACATAGGAAGCAAGCCACTGTTGAATGCTGTAGGGTAAACCAACATGTTCAATTTTTTCTTGCAAGAGCAGATGATCAACTTTATCAAAAGCTTTACTAAAATATCTCCACCGACAGTTGTCATCAAAAGAATCTAAAATGTACTTGGTATATTCGAGAAGATTGGTGTCTACCCCGAACGACCAGTAAAAAATCCGTGTTGTCAAGGGTCTAAAATATTTTGTACAGTGCAAAAAATAGGCTTGTAAATTAAGCTCTCAAGGATCTTGCCGAAAATGGGCAACAAAGAAATTGGTCTATAGTTTTCAACTAAGCTTCTACAACCAGATTTAAAAATAGACACCACAGAGGCCTGCTTCCAGATTAGCGGGAAAACACAGTCTTTCAGAGATCTATTAAATAGGATTGATAATGGTTGACTAAGAGATTCACAGCAATTTTTTATAATAACCGTCATGGGCAAGTCAAAGGCCAAAACATCTAATATCAAATAAACTACAAACATCATCATAAGCGACGAACGTGAATTCGAGACTTGCTGGTAGAAAATAAAAACCAGTATAGCTGCAGAAGAGTCTATAAAGAAACGAAAAGTTAATATAAACACCACCAACCACACTAAACTATCATTTTCCAAAGAAATAAGAGAATTTGCAGGAATAAAAAGTAAAAGCTACATATCCCATTGAAACTCACTGACAGAAGAGCAATGTATAATATACATAGAATAAAGAAACAGATCCAACGCAAGGCATCAAGACTATCAAAAGGGATTACTGGAGATAGTTCAAAAGTGACATGGACCACGATCTCTAAGGGGCACAGAAAAAAGTTTAGAATATGCTAAGAAACAGAAAGATGTCAGTAAATTAATACTTCTTTTCTTCTTCTTCATCTTCTTACTTTAGGGACTAGCCCTGTTTTTTGCATTTTTCCTCTTCCCTCCTCTTTCTTCTTACCAATTCCGTTCTTACGGATTGTTATCTTGTGATGACGACGTCCAATTCTCAAGCCAGTGTTTATGTGGTCTTCCTGGAAGTCGCCTGATGTCTGGTTTTTGCGTTTGAATTTTCTTTACCAATCATTCCTCGCCCATCCTTTCAACGTGATCCCTCAAGTATCTTGTCCATCAGACCACATCCTATACCTCGCACATCTTGCGGTTCCTCTCGCTTCTTACCCTGTCATGCAAGCTGTAGTAAGGTTGCTGTAAGTTCTTAGGGTTCTCATCTCTGTGGCTGTCATGACTTGTTTGGTTCTTGATGTTTCAGCTGTTATCTTGGCTGCGTATGTTAGCAATGACCTTACACAGGTTATATGTATAAATCCTTTCTTTGCTTTTTGCCGTCATGTATTTGTTCCGCCATATGATGTCTCGTAAGCAACCAAATATTACTGTTTCTTTGGTTGTCTGTGTTTCACTTCATGTCTGGTGTTGTTATTTCTTGATATCTAGACTCCAAGATATTTAAACTGTATTACCCAGAGGTGGGGAACGTGCGGCCTCCGTGACTTTCTTGTGCGGCCTCCATAAAATTTCTTGGATCAATTAATATTTCGTTATACTATAAAGAATTAAATAAAGAACGGTAAATTTCAGTACTGGTGGTAATAGCCAATTGTATAATTCAAGTATTAGAACACCACCTAGTGCGAAACGGCACCACTATTTTTACGTATTACAAGTAGCGACATCTCGTGCATTGGAGAGTAGGAGAGCAGCTTTGCTTGCAGATCTGGTAAACTCTGCAACATACGGGGTAATCCCCTTTATACAACGGAGTTGGCAATCTGCGCATGCCAGTACCAGTGTTGTTATCTACTATTGTTAAAACTTACTGTTTATTTTACACATCTTGGATAAATCTACATTTTTCGGTTATAATAAAGTCAGTAAGTTTACATCGTTTTTCGATTATAACACTTAATTCTTGAGTAGTTTTTAGTGCAATTAATAAAGACGAAGAAAGAAACAAGGTACATACTTTATCGCGGTGGTACTTCGAAGCCACGACACTTGTTTAATCTCGATTAAACAATATTTTATTCAATTTTTCTTTTAATTTTTTTTACTTCTTTTAATAAGGTCAGCAGACAAATTACCAAACGTCGCTGACCAAACGCATCGCTCGCACCGCATAATTGCGTAACGCACACCGCGCGCAATTATGCGACCTAAATTAATTAGTTTTTTAATCACTTATTAATTGTTAAGTTAGCATTAAGATTTGTATATAAACCCCAAATTTTGAATTAATAAACAGTATTATTGATATCTTCGTAATGCTCATTTCCTTCCTGGATTAAACGTCTGGCCTGCCCGGAGTTTAATCCGTTCCAAAATAAATATCTGGCTTGCCCGGAGTTTATTTTCTCCCAAACATTTTTCAAACATCTGGCCTGCCCGGAGTTTGAACAACACTCAACATCAAACAGTTTTTTTTCTACATCATAGCAAATTGTAAGAAAAACAAATTAAATAAAGAAAACAGATTGTTTAATGTGGACTGGGAGCTAGATTTTTCTTTACTTCTGTGAAAGATAAAATGGTGTGTTTGTTGTGCAATACAGTTTTAACTACTTTGAAAAAAGCTAATGCAAATAAACACTATTTGACTCATAAAGAGCATAAATATTTTAACTTAGAAGGTGAATCTCGACGAGCTATACTTCAAAAATTAAAAAATGAAAAACATCATCAACAAGCGTCAGTTAGTGCTTTTGTAAAGAAAAGTACCACTGCAGTTGATGTTACTTATAAAATTGCTCTTATACTTGGAAAAAGGGGCAAAACGTTTGCCGACGTAGCAATAATTAAAGAATGTATTGTTGAAGCGGTAGGTATGTTAGATCCAGAAAATGTTGCTAAATATAAACAATTGCCTCTTTCAAGAAGAACTATAACAGATCGGCAGCACGATTTAGCTCAAAATGTAACAGAGCAACTTTGTATAATTATACAAAATGAAGATGTTTATTTTTCAATTGTTTTGGATGAAAGCACTGATAGAACTGACTTGGCGCAAGTTTTATATTTTATTCGTGCTGTAACTAAAGATTTTCAGTGTTATGAAGAACTTCTTGCGCTAGGTACACTAACTGGAAGAACTCGTGGAGTTGACATTTTCGAAAACTTCAGAGAAATATGTCATCGCTTACAATTAAATATCAATAACTTAGTAAGTGTCTGCACCGATGGCGCACCTTCTATGAGAGGTAAAAAAGAAGGATTTTTGCATTATTAAAAAAGAAGAACTTAAACTTGGAAAAATTAATATCGTTTCACTGTATTTTGCATCAGCAAAATTTGTGCGCAAAATCCACCGTTTTGCAAGACACTCTGGATAGAGCTATTGGGATTGTCAACTATATTCGCGTTAATGCAATGCGTTATCGTGAATTTCGAAAGATGCTAACTATAGACGAGGATACGTACAGTGTTGATTTGCCGTACTACTGCAAGGTTCGCTGGCTATCAACAGGACAAGTTTTGGTAAAGGTTTTAATTTTCCGACGACAAATTTTAAATTTTTATCAAGAAAAAGGAAAACTATGTGATCTATCAGATGAAGTATTTTGCAGAAACATTGCATTTTTGTCTGATATTATGACAAAACAAAGCAATTTAAATATTTCTCTATAAGGTAAAACGAAACATGTATATGAAATGTGGCAAAAGATCCAGGCGTTTCGAAAAAATTAATATTTTTTAAAACATTGCTCGCTCGGATATATCTACAGAACACTTTCCGGAGCTAGTAAAAATGTACAATGAGCAGAAATGTGAAAATGTCTTGGATTCTTTATTAGAAGAATATACTGAAAGATTTGCAAATTTTGATGATCACACTCCTGCTTTGAAATTGGTATTTGAACCACATTTAGTAGATATATCCGATGCTCCTACCGAATTACAAATGGAGTTATTCCAATTGGCAGAAGATAATATTCTCAAATATCTTTTTGACGCTAAAAAGGACCCCTTAGAAATCTGGAAAAATACTGTTGAATATCCATGCCTACGAGAGCATGCACGCCATATACTTTCCTGTTTTGGAAGCACTTACTGCTGCGAGTCAACATTTTCTATCATGACAAAAATTAAAACAAATTTAAGAACGCAAATTACAAATACTCATTTAGAGGACCAATTAAGGCTGCGCGTTACGAAGCTTAATCCAAATATTCAAGTACTGTCAAGCAAGAAACAAATGCAAATATGCCACTAACTTTTACTATTGTATTTCTTGATAATGTTAAATAAATTAATTACTTAATTTTTTTTTGGTTTATTTCTATATAATATAATAAATTGATAAAACTATACGAATCACCAATACACGTATATTATCACCAAATTCGCTTTTATAGGTATATTAACTCATCTGGCCTCCTTTATTGTTACCTAATTTTAATGTGGCCCCTAATGACAAAAAGGTTCCCCACCTCTGGTATAACCTGTTGGATCAACTTTCCATCGACCTCCAATTTACATCGTGTTGGGGCTTTGGAAATGACCATTGATTGTGTTTTCTGGGTAGAAATTTGCATGTTGAATTGTTCTGCGGTTCTTTTCAGTTTGAACAGCAGACGTTGCAGATCATCTTTATGCTCAGCTGTTATGACCACATCGTCAGCATAGCTCATGATTTGTATTTTACAATTTCCCATTTTGTAACCTATATTAGGTAGTATTATTAGTATTAGTAGTTTGTAACCTAAACGCAAGGCTCAGACCGTCCGCCTCTCTAATGCCGGTTCATATGGTCCTTTGTTAGTCTATCGCGGATTTTGATTCTTATTTTGTTTTCCGTATTCAGTTCTTTTATTAAGTGTGTTACTCTTCTATCGATGGTATTCTCTTGTAGTATTCCTAATACATCACCAAGCTGTATTCTATCGAATGCTTGGGTAATGTCGACGAAGCAGAAATAGAGGGGCTCTGTGCTTATTGACCTGTTGGATTGAAATCCTTGCTGTTCTTCGGCTCTTAAACGCCTTCATTTGATTGTTTACTCTATTTTATATTATTTGTTTGTAAAATGAAGTCAGTAAATTAATAAGTGCAAACAAAAAGCATTCTGCCCTCTGCAATTATTTTAAACAATTATATTGCGTTGAGGAAACAACTGCAGCTCAATATAACAATATATATAAATAAAACTAAAGCCATGTGATTTGCCAAAGAATCAGTGAGGTGTAAACTGGTTGCGGAGGACCTTTAGGCATCTAAATATGGACATCTACTGCTCTGACAACCCCGCTAGAGAAGTAAGAAGTGAAGTAAATCAAGTAGCAGCTTTGACGAAATGCTTAAGAACAAACAACAAAATATGAATTTATAAAACCTGTGTAAAGGTCATTAAGACCTATAGTTTAAAGGGTCGGGAAAATACCAACAAGAGTAAAAATATAGTCAGGGTTGCTGAAATGAAAATTTTAAGAACTATCCTAGGTAAAACGAGAAGAAAGAAAATAAGATACACTAACATCCAGGAACAGTGCGGGATACAGCACGTTGTACTATAGGGCAGACAACGAAGCGTCCTCCAGGAAGAGCACCAAAAAGATGGCTGGACAACTGGCAGTCCACCTTTAAGGAGGTCCTCCGACAACGGCTTAAAAGTGAACAGACCGATGGGTTTAAGAGAAAGAAGTAGAAGGATCCCTGTGCCTGTTAGAGTGGTTAGAATTACTTGGGAAAAATTGCGGTTACAGATTCAAATAATAAAAACTGATTCTTTTCAATTTCCAATTACTTATCGACTAATCTACAATTTTAGAACCAGAATAAAGCTTTTAATATTTTTTTTTTATAAAATGACCTTTCCATTAGAAACTGTGCTTTTCAAACTTCTATGTATAGATTAATAATAATAAACTTCAGATTAAGTACGATGAAAAATTATTTATTAAATGATATTGATCAACAGATGTTTCGAGAAAATATCTCGTCATCAGGCACGACTGCATTGAAAAAACATTCATTAGTAAATTATACAAAAAACATATCAAAATAATTACCGTCAGAAATTTAGTAAAGAAAGTACATTATCTAGTTTTGGATCTCGATAATATTATCAGTTTTGTATGTTAATTAAACATTCAAACAGCAAATAGAAAAAACAATTATTTTTTTAAAAAAGGGGGGAGCTATCCAGAACTGTAAATAAAATAAAATATATAACATAGAAAGACACAACCAAAATGAACCAGAACAAAAATGGCGTGAACTTACTTATTCTTTGAAAAAAATTGTAGAGATCAAGATATTATAAAACTAAAACTACACTATTATAAAACTACGTTGTTCAAATAAAATTTAGAAAACCATCAGAACAGAAATATATAGTAAAATTGTAAAGTAAAAACACATTAAAAATTAATTAATAATTAATTAATAAATTAAAAAAAAACGACCAGTTATGAAAGGAACAAATAAATAATAAACAGGTTATACATTTGATGACATACATTTTATAAAGTATCTGTTGTTATTAAATTCTGTAATTTCGTTAAGAAATAGACCTTTTTTGTGTCTTTTATGCTTAAAAATCTGGAACTCTTCAGTTAGGTCTAGCTCTCCAGATTTGTTTATTCTTTTTATTAGGTGTATGTTGTTAATACTAGAATTGTGGTTTTTATTTTTTAAATGTTTACAAAATGTGGATGAGTTCTTAGATAAATGTTCTTTGGCTCTAGTTTTTAAATTACGCCCTGTTTGTCCTATACAGGCTGTCCCGTATCTTCCGCATCAGAGCATTATATGGTTGTAGGATACATTATTCTGAAGCGATCTTTCTAATAAAATTTTTTCGAAATGTTTATAATAACCGCACGGGAACTGTTTAATGACGACCAATAACGGACTACTTTGATTCACCGAAAAAATTTATTTCTCTTTTCATGACGAATCTATTGGTGAGTACACGTGGGAAACGAGTTATCATCGGCGCAGCGGACCGGCCGATTACCTGAGTCTGATTTGCAATCTGCTGATTGGACGAAAAACAGTTCGTTTAAACAGTTCCCGTGCGGTTATTATAAACATTTCGAAAAAATTTTATTAGAAAAATCGCTTCAGAATAATGTATCCTACAACCGTATAATGCTCTGATGCGGAAGATACGGGACACCTGTATAGGACAAACAGGGCGTAATTTAAAAACTAGATCCAAAGAACATTTATCTAAGAACTCATCCACATTTTGTAAACATTTAAAAAATAAAAACCACAATTCTAGTATTAACAACATACACCTAATAAAAAGATTTGAGAATTTAGTACAAACTTCACAGGTAATTTTATAGAGTCCACTTAACTCTAGATGGACGAATTTGTGGTTGGTGTTAATTAACTGCTGACCTAATTTGCTATTAGATGTGAAGGCCAAATTGATATTTAATTTGTTTAAGTTTCTTTTTAAATTTATTAGCGAGGGGTGAAAAGGCAAAGTAATGTAACAATTTTGACATCTGTAATGAGGGTAAATGAATCTAATAACTTGTCTATTGTAGACATTAAAATATATATTTTGCATTTCGCACATACTATAACCGTTGTTAAAACGGTTATATCTATTGAAAAAAAATCTAAATGCTGCAAACTTGTGTTGAGTACTACTGTGTGAGCGTTTAGGAATGATAGAGTCAGTACATGTAAGTTTTCTGAAAATGTTAAACTCAAGCTTATTAGTTAGGTTGTTTTTTCTTATCTCTAAATCCAAGAAATTAATTTTCAAATTAGATTCGAGTTCTGTGGTGAAGTTTAAAGCGCATAAATTGTTAATTAAGTGCGTGAAATTTTGCTCTGTTACTGTCATAAACAATTAGGATGTCATCAACACATCTACAGTAGAACTTAATGTCTTTATTAAACAAATCGTATTTACTGGTGAAAATTTTTGTTTCATAATGGTTCACGTAAGTGTCTCTATGTATAGAGACTCATTGCATCGCTTCTGTAAATAATTGGATGTTCGTACATTTCAAGAAATTTGTAATAATCCCGATGGATTTCTAAACATTCTCGAAGATCTTCTGGCGGTTCCAAATATATTTACCGATTTACTAACATTCTTCAAGAAGCCAACCATAAAGTTGTACCAATTTCAAGGAATTTTGAAACGTTTTAAGAATTGTTCAGGTTTTCTTATTATGTATAAAAATTACTAAATCGTATTTTGAAAAATTGTTTCTTTCCAATTTATTATGACTTTTTGAAAATGAGTGAAAATAGTTGCTCAATCCGAGAAATGTTTTATTATGTTCAAAAGTTATTAACTCCCAAACACTAAAAGATGTTTTAAAAATTCGTTTCTTTCATTGGAAAGCATACAACTTGAATTAGATACGTTGATAATTAAAAACCATTAGTACCAATAAAAGGAATTGAAATCGTAAACATTTTAAATTTAACATGGATGAAAATGGTTTTAATAAAAAAATGTTTCTAATTCATCAAGAAGATATGATCCATAAACGGTTTCTTTCCAACTATTTCACATTTTTAGTTATAATACATTAAATCCACAAATTTTTATTTTTATTTCAAATTGACGTTTTTGGATAAAATCAGGTTATAACTCGAAAACTAAAAATACTAGGAGAATATGTTGTGGATAAAAAATTCTTTCTAATTAATCATCAAAACGTTATCCGAAAGCGATCATAACTTACTACGATTATTATCAACATAAAGGAATTAAGGTCTTAAACAATTTGAGTTTGAAATTTATTATAACCTGGCTTTTATATGGCAAAGTAAACACTATGGATGAAAATGGTATTCATAAAAAATGTTCATAATTCATCACAAAGACATAATCCATAAACGATTTCTTTCCAACTATTTCGTTTTTTTAGTTATAAGTTATAACCGATATAATCCACAAACCTCAAAATTGACGTTTTTAGATACATAAAAGTTTATGTTATAACTCGGAAATTAAAAATGCAACAATCATTAAAACGTTATTTTAAATTTAGCATATTTTACAACAAAGTAGTTTTTATATCAAAGACTAAACACTATGGTTGAAAATGATATTAATAAAACATGTTCATAATTCATCACAAAGATACAATCCATAAATGATTTCTTTCCAACTATTTTGCATTTTTATACTCTATTTTTTAATTCAGAGGAGTGTTTTCAAATTGAAGTGGTATGGTGTTACTTCTAGTTTTTACTTGTACTATCACTAGTACCAACATTAGACCTAGAACTACAAACATTTGGGTTTAACTGTGCGTCTCAGACGGCTAATACGACTAATTCTAAACCTGAATGATTCTAGTTCTAGGTATAGTGTTAGTTCTAGTTTTATACTTGCACTGTTACTATGTAGAATCATTTGGGTTTAGCCGCACGTCTTTAAGGACGGCTAAACCTGAATGATTCTAGTTCTAGGTATAGTGTTAGTTCTAGTTTTATACTTGCACTGTCACTAGAACTAACATTAGACCTAGAACTAGAAATATTCGGGTTTAGCCGTGCGTCTCATAAGACGGCTAAGATTGCCATAAAAGTCATAAGATTGCTATATAAAATGATAATAAAACCGACTTGTCACTGATGGAAGCGAAGTCTGGTCATTTACAACAAAAGATGAGAGAAATATTACGAAGAATTTTCCCCGCAAAATATGACAACGAAAAGTATTTACGTCGTAGTAATGAAGAATTTAACAACCTTGTTGAAGGAGAAAATATTGTTAGGTTTGCTAAAGCTCAAAGAATAAGATGTATGGAATATCTTAAGAATGTGTGAGACCAGGAAAGCACAGAAGGTATTTGCGAGCAAATCAGATATATCAAGAGATAGGGGAAAACCTAGAATGAGATGGATAAACGGTGTGACTAACGACATAAAGAAGCTGGAGATAGAGTATAGTGGAGGCAGATTGTTTAGAAGGCCAAATCTCACCAAAGTTTGTATTGCCACAGGATCATGATGATCTATACAGGAAGAACCTTAACCGATTTAGAGGTTAAAACCGTGGAAAGTATGGTTCAGTCGTTGTCATCGACTTCCATGCAGATGGAAAACTACTTTTTGCTTTTTTAATTGTTTTAAAAAAATCCTGTAGCACGTTCGGACCGAGGGTACTAACTACAATGTTGAAAGCATCAAAGTCTGGTAAACTAACTTCTGTCCATATGAAAAATTTTCTACCAAATGTGTATTTCTCAAACACCGAACCCAAATCATTGCTATTACTGGATTCTTGGAGTGGCTACTGCCCTGAAATGTTTAGTGAAGTAACTCCATCAGATGTTAAGTTTAGACATTTGTCTATACCTGCAGGGACAACACGTCAAATTCAACTCTTGGATGTATTTGGCCTTAGAATATGGAAAAAGTTTATTAGTATATTTTCTGGTCACGTTTTCATTCGGGTTTAGCCGTCTCTAGTGTTAGCCATCTGGCCTAGTGTTAGTTCTAGTATTGTACTAGCACTATCACTAGAACTAACACAAGACCTAGAACTAGAATCATTCGGGTTTAGCTGTCTTAAGAGACGTGTGGCTAAACCCGAATGTTTCTAGTTCTAGGTCTAGTGTTAGTTCTAGTTTTAAGTGTTGTTTAGCGTTAGATTGTGTTATATTTTTATTGAAAGAAAAGTAGAACTAACACTAGACCTAGAGTCAGAAACATTGGGGTTTAGCGGTGCGTCTCTTAAGATGGCTAAACCCGAATGTTTCTAGTTCTAGGTCTAGTGTTAGTTCTAGTTTTACACTAGCACTGTTACTAGAACTAACATTAGACCTAGAACTAGAAATATTCTGGTTTAACCGCACGTCTTTAAAGAGGTAAAAACCTGAATGATTCTAGTTCTAGGTATAGTGTTAGTTCTATTAAAGATTATTTAAAATAACCCTTCACTTTTAGTATTATTACTTTTATTAAATATTAACTGAACACACATGAAAACTTATAACAAGAACTTAAGAACCTATTTCTCTAACGGTCGCGTTTCTCTATCTCTCTCTTTTAGTACAAACCTCAACCTTCATTTTCTCCAACACTCCCCCTCAATTCATATTTTTTTATTTATTTTTTGTTACAAAAAATTGAATTGTCAATTAAAAGTCTTTTTACAAAGTTCTGAAATTTATCTTTACATAAATTTTTTGTAAATCCATCAGCAACATTTTTTTCAGTGTTAACATATTTAACTATTATTTCTTTCTTTAACACTAAATCTTTAATAAAATTAAACTTTATATCAAAGTGTTTTGTTCTGTTTGAATTTTCAGAGTTTTTAATTAAACTTAAAGCACTTTGATTATCAATCATTAAATTATTGTCTCTCGTTCTTACTTTAAAGTCTTTTAATAGTCCCTTCACAGAAATAATTTCTTGTACTGCATTTACTTCTGCTACAAATTCTGCCTCTGCTGTTGATAATGCCACACAACTTTGTTTACGACTTTTCCAAGTAACGATATTAGTTCCATAAAACACTACTACACCACTGGTACTCTTTCGATCAGATTTATCACCAGCCCAATCTAAATCAGAAAATCCATCAACCACATCACTACTCTCTTTCTTGTACAATATACAATAACGTTTTGTTTCCTTCAAATATCTCAAAGCTTCCCAGTCACTCTTTTTAGGTGTGTTAACATTTCTACTTAAAAATGATGTTGCAAAAGCTATATCAGGTCTTGTACAAGTAGCTACGTACATAAGACTTCCCACTATTTCTCTATATGGAATATATTTTAACTGTTCCCCCTCACTAAAATAACCACTTTTTATGGGAATTAACTTTCCTTTACTTTCCTTCATACCATATTTGTACAGAATTTTATTTATGTATCTTGATTGTTTGATAAACATTTTGTCCTTTTCGTGTATAATTTCTATTCCTAAAAATTCATTTATCTTTCCCAAATCTATTGTCTTAAATTAACTTTTCAAATTTTCTAGAACTTTCTCGTATCTTCCAGACTTCCAGTATATGTATAAGCAATAATCCACTTCTGATCTTTTGAAATCATTTTCTAATGCAAATCTATTAAATCTTTCGTTCCAACATCTTGGTAATTCTTTTAAACCATACAGTGATTTATTCAACTTTAAAACTTTTCCTGGAATCTCTTCAATACCTTCAGTTATTTTTGTATACACATCTGACTGTAATCTTCCATTCAAGAATGCAGATGGAATATCTATTTGTTGTATTGTCCAACCATTATTTAAAGAGTTTATTAAAAATAGTCTTATTGATGACATTCTAGATATAGGTGCATACAATGTTATATCAGAATTTCCCTTATATCGAAAACCTGTTGCCACTAATCTGGCTTTGTTTGAACCATCTCTTTTCTCTGTAAATACCCATCTCGTGTCTATAAGTTTTGTTTCTTTTGGCAATTCCGTTACGGCCGTGTTTCTTGTTCCTTCAAAGAATTAATTTCCTTTTCTATAGCGTATTCTAGCGGTTCTTCTATTGATGTTAAATAGGCACTGTACACTTCATATTCATCTAAATATTTTGGCTTATTAACTTGTCTACCAGATCTCGATTCATTTTTTGCTATTTCATTTCCAACGTTCTCTTCTTCATCGTTTTCTTCTGTATTAACTAACATTAAATCTAGAACTAGAAACATTCGGGTTTAGCCGTGCGTCTCATAAGACGGCTAAAGCCGAATGATTCTAATTTTTGATCTAACACTAGATCAAAAACTAGTTCTACTTTTGGTTCAATAAAAATATACAATAATCTAGCGCTGCATAAGAATTAAAACTAGAACTAAGACTAGTCCGAGAACTAGAAACATTCGGATTTAGCCGCACGTCTTTCAAGACGGCTAAACCCGAATGATTCTAGGTCTTATGTTAGTTCTAGTGATAGTGCTAGTATAAAACTAGAACTAACAGTAGACCGAGAACTAGAAACATTCGGGTTTAGCTGTGCGTCTGAAAATAGAACATAGTGATATTTTATGCTAACTAGCGCTACCTACCAACTACCAGCCGTCTTAAGAGAGGTACAGCTAAACGGAATGTTTGTAGTTCTATGTCTAGTGTTAGTTCTAGTGCTAGTATTAGTCTAGTTTTATTTGTTATTCAACGCTAGATTATTGTATACTTTTTTTTGAGCTATAACGGATACTGCCGTCACCGTATTACTTCTCGGAATTAAAATATAGAGTATAGTAACAACCCCTAAAACCCATAAATTTCAAAATTGACGTTTTTAGATAAAAGTTTATGTTAGGTATAACTCGAAAATTAAAAATGCTTGAAAAAAATTTTGTTGATAAGAATTGTTTTATTAATCACCAAAACGTTATCCATAAGCGATTAAAACTCAACAATGATCATTACCAATCTAAAAGAATTAAAGTCTTAAACGTTTTAAGTTTGTCACAACATCTTGGTGTTTGATTTCAATTTTTGTTTGCAATCTCAGCAATACAACCGATAACTTCGCAATTTCGTACAATTTCCTGTGCACTAACCGCCGATTCCCTTTATTTATAAACGTTGCTTTACCGCGATAATTAAAAATGTTTTTCTATTCGTCTATCTGCGGTTAGGAAATTTGTTTTGATATCGTCTTCCCCCTTAAGTATTTCCTCACTCTCCCAACGGAAAAATCATGCAGGTTTGCATTATTTAATCACATTTAGTACAAGGTTTTCGAAACTCTATTTATCATTAAAAAAGTTCTTGTAATTGAAATTCTTTGTAACTAAACTCAAAATTTTAAATGTACCAACATCATATATAACGAAATTAATCTATTTAAAGATGTAAGTTGACTTGTGACTCACCGTGTATTTGCTTTCGTTGAATAAAGTCTGCACTAAATAAATATTGGCAAAGAATGTAACAGGAAAAATATATTAGTAACGTTAAATATTATTATTATGTTAACTCTTTCTTTATAGTTTTTATGACATCAACTATAAAAACGTAAACTTTTTTAAACTATTTTGTGTTATCACTAAGTATTTATCTTAATTAAATAGGAAATTTAACACTTGAGTAGATTACGTCTAATCTTATTTTTCTCTGTATCGTTATATTAGCGAAAAGAAATGTTTTAACCTAACAAATAGATAACAGGAGAATGATTTTTATTTTTAAGTGTGTTTGACAAACACTTTAGCAAATTAAATTTTTTAATTGATTACATAAATATCTATACAACATTATTTTTTATTATACTCACCAAAGGAATTTTATTTTCCATTATAAAGTCCTTTACTTTAACTCACACCGAATAGTACACAATTTCATATAAAAATCTAAATTAGATATTTTTTACCAAAAAAATAATTTTTGATTTTCTAATTTTTATTAATTAACATCAAACACACGAGTATTTATAATATAATATTTAGAATTAAAATAAAATGAAACTATTTTTTTAAAAATTTGGAAGACCTTAATTTCTTAGATTTAAAGTTTTAGATTGAATTTTCAGTGCCATATCCGTCGACGTCGGCCTGAAATTACCGGTTCTAGGTTATGTTCAGTGTGTGAGTGTGTGTGAGTTGGTTACATTTCAGGAGAGATGTACGTTTCAGGGAACGCACGTCCTGGACGACTGCATCGCGACGATTCATGCTACCAGCAGCAAATCGATCCGTGCTGCATTGTTCGGACGCACGCGCACCAACCGATCGTTTCCTTACGTTTCACGAGGTTTTATTAAGGTTTCCACCTACATTTCCTCTTCTCTTCATCCACCTTATTCGCGAGTCCTTTTTGAATGAAAGCCTCCTCCTCCAAAAATAGAACCTCACAAACGGATGCACGAATCTGTTCTCCTTTTCTCAAGGTCGATTCGATCTGCTCTTCCGGGATTAAAACGTTTATAAAGGGTTTATATCACACTCAATTTTGACGATAATGAGTTTATAGTGAGACTCGAAATAGAATTTAAACCGAACTGAGCTGCTTACATTTATTTTTAAATGTTTATTTTTGGGGGAGTTCAAAAACTGTTTTAGTTTTTTTTTTTACTAAATGTGATTGTTTGTTTTATGTTTTTAATGGATTATTTTATTTAAAAAGAAACTTTCTATTTTTACATTTAATATTTTCATATAGAATGATTCAGATAAAGTTTTTAATCCTTATAACTCTCCATCTGGTTAGGAAAAATTACCGTATTTTCTCAAATCTAATCCGCACCTTTTTCACAAATTTTGTATGCTCTAAAATCAAATGCGGATTACAATCGGGTGCGAATTAGATTCACAATCGTATAGTTGCAATTTGGAAAATGGTAAAATAAGATCACGTTATAACAATAACACTTTATTAAGGGTTTTAGAACGATATTTATGTACTCCCTCTGTCCCAAATTATGGTATTACATAATTAGTATAATTGTATTATACATTTCTCTAAAATTTATGGATTAAGGAAAGTTTGGAGAATTAACGAGTTTCTATCTATTTAATATAATGTAATCTTAATTTAATTAATGAAATAAAGAGTAGAGTAGAGTTCTGTTTGTCGAAGATTAAATCAAATCGATGTTTTGAGGATATGTACTACATGACGCTGGACGAAGCAGAAACAGAAAGGCGCTGTAAAAGCAAACGGTTTATAACTAAAGTTATGTTTATGGCTGCAGTGTCCAGACCACGTTATGACAGTGCTAAAAAACAGTATTTCAACGGCAAAATAGGACTCTGGTCTTTTGTTTATAAAGAACCTGCAAAAAACAGCAAGAACCGGGTAAGAAGAACGATGGTTACCAAAAACATCGAGTCTATTAACGCAGCAGAATGCAAAAAGATGATTATCGATAACATTGTACCAGCCATTAGATCCAAGTTGATTGGTTTAAAATTGATGATAATGGATCAAGAAACCAGGAAATCCGACAATATCAAAATTGCCAATCATCTACATTAAATTCTGTTATGATAAAAAACTGACAGTGATAGAGAAAAACGTTTTCCTTAAGAATTGATGATAATGAATAGAGACAACACAATCCATAGTCAATGCCACCATAGATATCATCATTTCTTAGGTTCAAGCCAGGATTTCTCAAAATATCAAAATTGGCAATCATCTGTGTTAAATTCTATTATAAGTAGAAAATTAAAGGTGATAGAGAAAAACGTTTCCCATAAAAATTAATGATAATGAATCAAGATAACATAATCCATAGTCAATGCCACCGTAGATGTCACCATTTCTTAGGTTAAGCCAGGATTTCTCAAAATATCAAAATGGACAATTATCTATGTTAATTCTGTTATAAGCAGAAAATTAAAGGTGATAAAGAAAAACGTTCCCATAAAAATTAATGATAATGAGTCAAGATAACGTAATCCATAGTCAATGCCACCATAGATATCACCATTTCTTAGGTTCAAGCCAGGAATTCTCAAAATAACAAAATTGACAATCATCTGCGTAAAATTCTGTTATAAGTAGAAAATTGAAGGTGATAGAGAAAAGCGTTTTCTATAAAAATTAATGATAATGAATCAAGATAACATAATTTATAGTCAATGCCACCGTAGATATCACCATTTCTTAGGTTCAAGCCAAGATTTCTCAAAATATCAAAATTGACAATCATCTGCGTTAAATTCTGTTATAAGTAGAAAATTAAAGGTGATAGAGAAAAACGTTTCCCATAAAAATTAATGATAATGAGTCAAGATAACATAATCCATAGTCAGTGCCACCGTAGATATCACCATTTCTTAGGTTCAAGCCAGGAATTCGCAAATTATCAAAATTGACAATCATCTATGTTAATTCTGTTATAAGCAAAAAATTAAAGGTGATAGGGAAAAACATTTGCATAAAAATTAATAATAATGAATCAAGATATTATAATTCATAACCAATGCTACCATAGATATCATCATTTCTTAGGTTCAAGCCAGGAATTCTCAAAATATCAAAATCGCCAAAAACTATAAATGAATTAATAGATTGTATTAAAAGTGCCTTCGGCGCATTAACTAAAGAAAAGTTAGATAACCTATTCTCGACACTATTAAAGTGCATGGAGTCAACCATGATAGACTCAGCAGGCAACAACTATAAAACTGAATAAATTTGAATCTGAGCATGGTACAGAAAAACTTTTCGAACGAAAGTTGTAGCAAATTGTATTCTTAACAAAATTGCTCTCAGACGCATAGATATCGAGAAAAATATGAAGATTCATGAATAAAGAAAACCTTCGCCATGAAGGGCATTTACATTGAACCAGCTGAATTGTGTTTAAATGTGTAAAATTTTCATGAATGTATGTTTAAATTAAGTTACAAATTGAATTACTAATTTTATAAACACGATAAAGCAGTTTCCCAAGTTTTGTATACCATAATTTGTGACAAATTGTAAAGAGAAATGTATACCATAATTTGGAACAGAGGGAGTATCATTTTCTTCCAATATTACGTCATCTTCGCATCTGTTCAAAGCATTGGTTATACAAAATTTCTTAAATAATGTTATAATATTGTTTTCAGGGATCGTTTTCCATGTCGCGTACACTCACTGAGCAAGTTCAGTTTAATAATTTAAAGCTCGTTTAATTGCTCCTGATCTTGTTAATTCTCAAGTTTGTTAATATATACATACACAGGTTGTAGTCTGGATGTCATTCCACCAGGTATTATTATTATGACAAGAAGTCTAAACCAAGGGCAATCAGTCAATGATTACATTACATTACCTTGCATTGCCTATACAGGGTGATTCATTAGCTCTATGACAAACTTTGGCAGATGAAAGGTGATGCGATTCTAAGGAAAAAATGTTATATGAATATGGGTCCGATTCATTTTGGTTAAAGAGTTACAAGCCTTTGAAAATTTTACACAGTTTAATAGGCAAATGAAAATGTAACATAAAAAATAAGTTTAAAAATTACAAAAATTGTTCGAAATGTCCGCCTTCAGCTTGAATGCACGCCTCACATCGACGAAGTAAAGATTTGCAACAATCGCAACAATAATTATGAAACACAAATACAGAGTTGGCTGTGATAACAAAACTGAGTTCTTTATGTCAAACATTTCAATTTACTCTATTCTGTGTGTTTCAAAGTTTATAATTGTCAGAGTTTTGATCGAAAACGAAAATGCATGTATTTACGACTGAAGAATATGCAGATATTATTTTTGTATACGGGCTTTGTAACGGAAACGCTCGGCAAGCAGCAAGAGAATACCTTCGTAGGTTTCCAAATAGACATCAACCTGCCCATACAGTGTTTAGTGCATCATTTCGCAGACTGAGAGAAACAGGTAACCCCGCTCCACTACATTCCGTTCGTCCCCATGATGTGAATGTACAAAATGAAGAACGTGTTATTGATTTAGTACTTGACGACCCTTCAATTAGTACTCGGCGTATAGCGAGCATGTTACAAATATCCCAAAGTTTTGTATGGCGTGTATTGAATCGAGAAATGTTACATCCGTTTCATCGCCAAAATGTTCAAGCATTACATCCTGGAGATACTGAGCAACGCTTAGCATTTTGCCACTGGATTATTCAGCAACATGCTCAAAATAATAACTTCATTTCCCAAGTTCTGTGGTCTGATGAAGCGTGTTTCACTAGGGACGGCATAAATAATTATCATAACGAACATGTGTGGTCCTTGCAAAATCCACATGCAATTAGACCAGGAAGATTTCAGCAACGGTTTAGTGTAAACGTTTGGGGTGGCATTTTTAACAATTCTTTGCTACCTGTATGGGTGATAAATGAACGCTTAAATGCAAATATGTACAGAAATTTCTTGGGACATAACCTTTTCGATTTTATCGACGACGTACCACTTAACATCGTTCAAAATATGTGGTATCAGCACGATGGTGCACCACCACATCGAGGAAGAGAAGTCATCGCTTGGTTACATGAACATTTTCCAAACAAATGGATTGGCAATGGAGGTCCAGTAGTCTGGCCACCACGATCCCCAGATCTAAATCCGCTGGATTATTATTTCTGGGGACACATGAAGCAGCTTGTGTACCATGTAGAAATTACTACCCGTCAGCAACTACTGGACAGAATTCAAGATGCAGCTAATAGCATACGGAATGATCCAAATATCATACGTCGTGTGATAGAATCTTTACTTCGTCGATGTGAGGCGTGCATTCAAGCTGAAGGCGGACATTTCGAACAATTTTTGTAATTTTTAAACTTATTTTTTATGTTACATTTTCATTTGCCTATTAAACTGTGTAAAATTTTCAAAGGCTTGTAACTCTTTAACCAAAATGAATCGGACCCATATTCATATAACATTTTTTCCTTAGAAT